ACGTCATTTTATGGAGATTCGTTAACCGAACAGATTAAATTTATTTTTATTAACAGAAAAAAAGCTACCAGAAATTTCAAACTTTTATAATAAGTAACTTGAACTCTGGAGAATCACTTTAGCGTAAGGTTATTCAAATTCACTAAATGGTTATCGAGGAAAAAATGAAAAATTAGCTGAAAATCTCGTTTTTACTTGATAATATTTATAATTGTTTGAAATAAATGCAATTTCAAAGTTTTAATTATTGTTTAAAAATATTAAAAAAAATTACGCTCATTATTAATAGAGATTGAAACTAAATATTTTTTTATTATATTATTCGTTATTTCTTACTTTATTTAAAGTTTTTGGTCAAATTTCAAACTTTCTCTCAAACCGTATACTTTTTTTTTTAGTATAGATAGTATTTATTGACCTCATGATGTGCTGCATATTTTCAGGAATAACCAATTAACTGAATAATCAAATAAATGTTTAAGCAAACAACCGATTAATCAACCAATCAATTAATCGCAACTAATAAATATGAACAGCAACGACTGTTATTTTTAGGGTACCGTTAGAGGCGGATTAAATGTCGAGAGCGCCCTAGGTTAACACTTCATAAGCGCCCCTCTGGCGGTTATATATTTTCGAAACTATTAAGGCACGGGGCGCTTCATAGAAGCTCTACAACTCTATAAAAAGTATTATTCTTTGTAACTAGGTACTTTTAGTTTAAAAAACTTCCGCGTGCGTCCCTTTTTAACTTTGCGCCCTTAAGCATGTGCCTAGTTTGCCTTACGGATAATCCGCCACTGGGTACTGTACATCCGAATAAAAATCGGAACCCTTATATGAACACTCGTGTGTCTGTCTGTCCGTTTTTTATATTATGGAAATGTTTATTTATGTGTTGTAATACTTCATCCAAATGAATAATATGTTCCCGTAATTCGATTATTTCGGTTACTTTTTTGATTTGCTTTCGATTTTTTTCTTAAAATCCATAAACGATTGTTAAATTAATAATCACATAGCCTTAATTGTGATATTGAATATCAATGAACCGTCAATTTTGATCTGTAGCTCTCGATTATTCAGCAAAAGAAATGCTTAGCTTTCCCATCTTTTTAAAACGTATAAGTAAATAAAAAAGCTTGAGGCCTCGAGAGGAAAAGTGTGTTCAAAAGAAAGCAGTTTAATTTTATTATTAGGTAGTTGTCAACTGGCGTAGTCGGTAACGGAGTTTACTTCTCATAAATGGAAATGTTAATTAGTTTATATTGGATTTCTTACCCATTATGAATAAAAAGATCGGCATTATTTCGGGCCCCATAAAAAATGAATATTTGGTCATTTTGCTTAAAATCTTTAAGAGCGAAACACTCGCTACGTCGAAGTTCTGGATTGTAATCTGTCGTTATCTGTTTAACACAAATAGATGTATGTACGAATACATATATTTATTCAGGATGGAAGCTTGTTATGTTATTTTTGTTTTATCCACCCAAATAACAAATATCTATTGCAAACTTTGCGAATTCTCAAATGCTCAAATAACATCGCTTTTCAAATTAAATGTAAATTTTGAATAAGCATTTCATTTTATCAAACATTACTTACACTTCCGTTCATATGATTACATAAATCCCACAGTGGGATAAGAGCACTAAGATAATTTCCGTCTTCAGAAGGTACAGTATTTTGGCGAGTCATCACTGTGGATGCAGCCCATCTAAAAATGCAACAACACTTCACAACAACTTATTATTAATTTATTATCTGGTGTTATTTTACTTTCGGTTATAGGTACTACGATTATTTACTAATTAAGACAGTTTACCATGGGAATACAAAAACAATAATAAAATTAACTCTTAATGACTAAAAAATGGATTGTAAGTTAACTAATTATTGATAGTTTTTCTATCTTTATGTTATAATTACTTTAGTTCGGCAACAAATAATTCTTCTATATGCTTTCTTATTTGCCTTTGTGACCCGTTTTAATTGGAAAAAAGACAATGATGCCAAACCAGTTTGCTTAACGTGAAAGATCAGAGTCAAAATAGGGTTGTAAATAATTTTATAGATGTAAAATCAATATCAATCATTTTATCTCAAAATATTTACAACCCCATTTTGTTTCTGATCTTTTACACATTGTAATAAGAGAAAGAAATGGAATCCATAGTTTCTTTGGCTTTGGGTTCATCTAATAAGTGAAGTTTTTCGAATAGTTTTCTAAGAATTTTGGATTATATGTATCTATCTTGTAGTTTTCAATTTTACACAGTTTGCGTATATCAATTCGATATTGTTTTGCGGTCTGTTTTGTCTTAATTCATAAAATTTCGAAGTTCCATGCTAAAGGAACAATAAATGGTGATTTAGCAGGTGCTAATATCAAATTGGAACTTAAAAATTCCATGGACCATGAAATTGAATTCGGAAAACAATATCGATCCAATATTTCAGATTATCCATTTCCAAGGAGTTTAGAATTTTTGGGCTCTCTTCCGTTAATGAATTAGAAGGCATTCATGGAATGTCTCTTTATGCCCTTTTTAAGCTTCTAATACCTTCAATACTCAATGTGAGCAACATTCATTCATTATTTTATATAATGTTTGATCGGTGATACTAGCGAAACTTTTAAAGGCAAAAATGTATTTTGCATCTTACAAATAAAAAAGTATTTTAAATAAGACAAAATGCCTTCCTCAAAAAAGAATTTAAAGGTTAGATAAAAATAGGTATTTTTATTTTGTAATTACATCTTAAATGCAAGTATTTCAAATAAATCACTTCTCTGCTGGTACATCATTTTTTATGTAATTTAGAGCACTTTTTCTTATATAGTACACCTATAAGCGAAATCTAGGCCGATTTCGTGATATGGGGGAGGGGGGAAATGTCGACGTAATCGCTCGGTTTTGACGGTGTAATATACTCAAAATACTCCAACTTCTGGGAAAAATAGTGGCAGAAAAAATTCATGGGTCATACTCCCGTTCGTAAATAAAAGAAAAGTAAAACTTAACCAGATATAACAAAATACAATATTTCCCGTGATTTTTTTCTGCCACTACTTTTCAGTAATTTTATACATAAAGGGAGGGATGGTATTGGCGTACGTTTTCGGTAATATATTTACTCCTCATACAAATAAAAAGAGAACAGACATATGTATTTTCATATATGTTAAAATGTTTGAGTCTAACTTTTGGAAAGTATGCTAATCAGTATCAAGAATCATTACTACGTTGAACGAGGTTTTGTTTGAATTTTAAATTTTAAAACTGTTACTCTTTAATTCTGCAATTTCAGTTTCATTATTATAACACTTTCAAAAATTCTGCACCATCAGACCCAAACTTTTTAATAGTTTGTATTCAGACTGTTGGTTTCGATGTTCTACGCTCAAGGAATTAAATAGCTTTCTTTAAGCATTGTACTAATACAGCCAACTTCCCTCATATTAATAGATTTCTTAAAGAATTGTAGAAAGCTGGAAAGTGAATTACACAATAATTCACCATTTACATGGGTACGGTATCGGAATAATTCTTTTTATCAATAATAACAAGTACTATACTTCGTTTACTTTCTGTAGCGATGTGACCTTCAGTTTCACCGGCGCAAAGTAGAAAAAAACAGCACTAGGCCAGAAAAGGAAGGAGACAACTCTCGGCCAAACTCTTAACCGATGAGGAGCGTATAATCCGTACAGTACTGCACAGAAAAATTGACCATTTTATCCACTACAATTGCATTGCTCAAATGTGCTGTTATTGGTACCAATTACTACAGAAAATATCAACGAGATGTTTATTTATGTTTGATGACATATTAAAGGCTTTAACGCTTGTCTTCGACTCGCACTACTATTCATGATTGAACAAAACTTTTGGCAGGTACTGTATGAAAAAGTATGTGTAATGAACAAAAGTCGAGAGTATAATGAGCTTTTTTCTCCCTACCTACGATTTTGCCAGCGCGCATCCAAGACATTGGAAGGGGCACATCGCTAGAGATAATGAAGTATACTAAATAAATTGCATTACTGTCCTTTAGAAAAATGGTAAGTAACCGCGAAAATGCATTGTTCATTAAAGCAGTGAATTTTGCAACGGTATCCATACAATTTATCACTGTGCCATTGCAGGTTGTATCATGAGCAAACTAAAATACTTGCTCAGTTGTTAGGTATTCTTGTGGCGTTATAGGCCGCAAGAATGTAGCTTTCCTTAACTCCAATGCAATGTTACGGGCTGGACGGATCAATGATTCGTCTAAGCTCATTTTATTTGATTGCTGAATTTACAATCTGAACACGCATTAAAAAAGATTACACCTTTCGAATTCTTATTTTTGGAATAAATATATGTAACAATATTTATTATTACCCCTTAAATCTCCTCCGAATTCAACTAATTAATATTAAATATTTATTTATGGGCTAAAGTATTAAAACAAAAATTAGGAATTTTCAATGAGAAATTTGAGAACAATAATAATGCACGAATGTATCTATAATAAGCCTTATCTGGATTAGATATTTAACTATTAATGAAATGGTAAATCAACTTTCCAACAACATTTTTAACAATGAAAATTGACATTGACCAACGAGGAAATAAAAAGAAATTAAATAGTTTCTGCTGCGACATCTTTTGTATAAGGTAGTTCGCATAAAAAATTGAAGAAGAACATTGTCACTTTCACCTTGTAGAAGAAAAACTGATTATATTACCATATTCAATATCTTGTCAGGTAGGTCCTTATGAAGGTCAATAGCGAAAGCGTTTTCGCGTGACTAGAAGTATTCGATGAATTAAATAAATACAAAATATTTTTAAAAAACTTTACCGCACAATTTCATTTCTTTTCATGTTAAGAGAACTATAAACTCCATACAATAAAGAAAGCTCAACACGTGTAAGAATTTTTTGTAACTTTACTTAAGTAGATATTTATTTTATGGTATAGATATGGGTGTTTTAACTCCACATAAAGATTGGTAAACTAAGTAAAACAGTAAACCTACAATCCTAAAATGTCAAATTATCTTAAAGCAAGAAAAACTCAATAAAAAAATGTAACAGATTTCAAAAAACCATAGTAACTATATTGAGTAAGTAATTCATTTGAGAATTGAAAATTAAAAATAGCTTTCAAAAAGCGTTCTTGATTGTAATTCATAATGTGTATAATAATTAATAGTAATTTTTGCCACCCGGGATGAAGTCTAAATTTGCTGCCCTTCCTATTTTCTTTGTTATTTTTTTATGATACAGGGACGGGGGTCTGGTTTGTGATTATGTTAATAATATTTATTTATGTATTTTTATAATTGTTCTGCAATAATACTTGTCTATGTTCGAAAACAAAACGCATGTTCAGGGATTCCCTAAAATAACTGATAATGTTCACTCGCTTTTATGGTTACGTTAAAACGTAACTTTTGCTAATATGGAGGTTAAAATTACTAAAGTTTAGTTTACGTTATACAAAATTTCAATAAAACAATTAATTTCAGTTTTATATTATGGAGTGCTAAATGAAATAGAATATAGAAAAGTGTCTTGCTTCTAATACTAAGTCGAAATCTACAGTGCAGCAGACGATTCGTGTTTCTGCTTTTGGTATGTTCTTCTACGATTCTTACGATTTCAGCCATTGTAATCGAAGGTACCTATTCTACAACGGCCTTCGTCCCTATCATAAAGTGAACCGTTAGGGTTTGACCATTCGACTATCAGCTTCTGTTATATTAGCTATGAAAAAATGCCATTTTTACATATAGATACAGGACAGATGCTTTTCACAGATTTTTAACAACACAATAAATCTTGGAATTTTTAGGAACCTAAACAGTAATGCTTGTTATATGACACAAATTATTAAAAATTGGTACCAATACTAAGAAATTGGAGCATCTAACATTACTACGAGGCGGACCTGATTTTATGTAATACCCAAAAAAATATTTTTGCCGCCCCTACTTTTGCGCCACCCGGGACCCATGGTCCCGAATGCTCCCCCTCCATGCAACGCCTCTGGCTTTATCAAATGTCCATAACTATCGTAATTATTGGGGACGAAATTTGTAACTAATTACAAAAGTAAATTTGAAAGAATATACTTTCGTAAAATATCAAACAAAAATGTTAGGTATTATAGAAGAGCACAGGTATTAAAATTATTATCGAATTATGTTAAGTAAATTTATAGTTGTTACCATTACCTATTACTTGTATTTGACTGCATAAATTCTTAAGTAACTACTTGAACTACTTAACTTCTTATCAGAACTATTTAATAATAGGTGCCAGTTTCGTCACTTCCTTCTTGTATGTTATTTTATAAGTTGATTCTTTGAATTGATTTATCAATGGTGAAGTTTTTAAAAGGTTAATTTTCTTAAAAAAATTTTCATGAGTAGGACGAGATGCTCGTACTTTGAAGGCCTTTGTATAAAGATTACTTTAGTTTTACAAGTGGATATAAAAAAATATTAAAAGCTTTCAAATACCCGAGAACTATAATAAATGTCAGGTAAAAGATTGGAATTTTTATAGGGGTGCAAAATGGAATATTTGTGAGTATATTTTAATGAATTTGAACAAGCATATCTGAAATTAGAAAACGGTAATATTTCTTTGAAGAGGATGTATCAGGTGTTCGTTTTAAAAGAATGTGATTTCATGATGGCTTATCTGGAAAATGAAATCATAAGAACGTAGTTAATTACAAATTAATATACCATACATAGTTTCACGTTTTGTCTATTATAACAATAAATTTAAAGTTCAAACGTCCATTTTCAATGACTAACACTGACCAAATGAAATTTCAGACGTATCAAATTATTACTAACTTGACCTAACTAAAATAACTTTAACAAATGAGCTAATTATGAAGCCAACAAAGGCGTAATTGATGCGGCCTACATGAAAACTCGAAAGCATGAGACGCACTTCAATTTCTATAAATAATAACTTACTGTCCTAAGTACGTCTCTCATAATAACGTTATGTATGAATGATGCTCGTTCTCTAGTTATGAGTTGACTCCTGACTACATTTAAGACACTGCAACCTATAATTCTAGAGGGTAGTTTATATGATACTAACAATTAGTATGTGTATTACAAGTGGATCCAGTATTGTGTCGATGACGTAAACAAACATTCAATATAAGTTTTCATCGGATAGATATGTGTCATTTATGTCATGAACTTGTTAGAAAGGTAGGCTCTGTTTAAAAATTAAAACAATAGACGGTTGGTGCTATAAACATCGATTATAAACGAATGTTCTTCATTACCAAAACAAGCATATGTTTTACGTTCGAAAAACAATTAGAAAAAGACGTGAAGTACAGTGCAGCCGTTTGTCCATAAAACTTTTTATTTCGCCGTTAAAAGTCGATTTTCGTGCTACTTGCTCTGAAGTCTGAAGTAAGTGAAGCAGTCGCGTTACCAGACGACAACAAAACAACTTTTAACGATTCTTTGTGTCTTTCTGCAAGATGTGAGAGAAAGCTCACGTATTGTACAAAGGCCTGGTCAGAAGTCGGTTAAATTCTAAAGAAATTTATAAATGGTCCTTCTTCGATCCCCTCCATTGGCACCAGTACCAACAACAACTGTGGTGAAAGGTGACTTACGAAGAAACGCGCTTAAACATAGCACATGTCGATGCTACTTGCTCGAAGCGTGATGTAGTTCAGTTGGAAGAAGGGTGATTCCCGGCAAATATGAGAAGTTTCCAAAGAAAAACACGTCATTTTGCCCCTTGACGGTTACCGTATGACAATGGTGTGTTTCCAAAAAGTTATTATTCTTTTAATGACATTGCGTTTAGTTGTAAGTGAAGAAAAGGTAGACTCGGACAATTTATACGTACAGTTGACAGAATCTCAATCAAGAGCTTTAAAACAGGTAAGAACTCTTTTGCTTACACACCTAATAATATTTCATGTCACTGATTCCTGATCATCTTTTTGATGTACCCTACCTAGCCCTAAAGAAAAATATTCGTCGTAACAAAAAATAATATTATTATTAATAAATCTTATCCTGATTTTAATTCAGTGGGTGTATTTAAATGAAAAAAATTAAATAAAGCTCAACAAAGCACGCACAAAAGTTCGAATTTGTAAAATTGTTTTAAATATTACGAAGAAATAGTAGTAAGGTGTTTGCTTACTGCAGTTTGCATCGCGGTATCCTTGAATAACACTTAATTTAGATGTTTACCTGGTTACTAGTAATTGCATATAGGTATTGAACATGCAAAATTATAACAATTCATACCTTTCTCTTTAAGCGAACATATTAACGACCGGAATTGTTTTTTTCCCCCAAAATAATATATTTATTGGGTCACTGTGTAATTGTATTGTTCAGTCATTTAATTCATTAATTAAACTACGAGTCTACAAAAGCGGTGCATTGTTTTCAGTAAATTAATTTTAAATACCAACCGGTAGCATTGAAACGGCTTCATGCTAATTGTTACGTCTGGTATCATTCTAATAAAGTTACCGTCTATAAATCATAGGTAGGTACATACATACGTTTCTAAAACAAAAGTCCCAATAATAATCCATAAAATTGACTCTCGTTGCTGAATAAAACGATGCTTGTGGAATTATTTTCTTTTGCTCATTAGGACTGTGAAGTTTTCTACATTCTTAGCACATTACTCACATTCTTTTTGGTATTTGTCGCCAAGTTAATCTACTTTTTACATTATTGCTGTTTCTGTATTATTCTTAATATAATTTCCAAACACTGGGAAAAACGTACTAAAGTAGTAGTTAGTAATTCCCTTTTTGGTAGGTGCTTTTATATTATATTATCAAATACCAGGGTCGTCATTACGTCTTCTTCTGAGCTCTGCCCAGATCAAAGAGAAAAAGGAACACCACCACCCCTCACCCCCGCTTTTAATTTAGTCCCACACACAGTTATGAAATTTACAAGAATCTTTTGGTATTTATTGATATTGATGTTTATACTATTTTAATAAATGCTTTGATTTTGGTGAAAACAATTAGTTATACAAATTCCAATATTTAAATTTAAAATAGGGGAGGTTCCTGGTCTCGCATTCACATTTTCAGTTATGAATTCGAAATGGCGATAAGAAAGAAACAGAAATAGTATATTATTCAAAATGAGCTTTTGGTTTACATTTATTTAAAAAATGAATATAATAAAACTTATGACACTGTAATTATAGACAAAAATTTGTTAAAAAACGTAGCAAAAAATATAGTTTCAATAAAAATAAATAACTAATATCATTGTCAATTTTTGCACTTTTTCCATAAAATACTATATTTTTTTGAAGTCTGCTATATTTTTTGTATCTTAGTTTGAAAAATGCTATATTTCGCCGAAGAAATGTTGGCAACCCTAATTATAATATAATTTTTTATTCCCCTAAGTACTTAAAAAGACCTCTCATTTGATGAACATGACGATGCTTTCGCCTGTTTTTCATTTTTGAAAATAAACTCTTAAAGTACAGGGCTATTACCGAGTGATTGAGAGCTAATGAGATTGTACTTTTTCTGTGTATCGAAATACCTACACGTAAAAAAGTAATTATGATTTCCGAGGTATGGAAATCCATAATGGTGCCCCTTTTAATCGCATCAAAAACTCATGGATTACTAAACTATACGATATTTTAATTAAAGCAATTGTAAATTAATGTCTGCATTATGGTCGTAATAAACAATAAAACCAAAATTTTCTGAATTACCGAATTTCTGTTATAAGTAACAACACTATAGGTCAGTGCTGTAATTTATAATTAATTAAACAGGTTATTTAATTAGCGTCGGTCTCAATTATCATTCATTACCTCCTCGTAATTATTTACATCATCAACGCATGTCTAGCTAAATTTTAATTCTCACATTTAATAATGTCGATGGTTTTTCGTAGTAAGTAATACAACCTAAATTAAGCTAGTAAAATTTTTAATGGTTTATTCAGTTTGTGTTTCTACAATAGTCGCAATCATTTCTTAATTCAATTAAAATTTTGGGCCTCATAAACTCCATTATACGCCTGTGCCCTTGAAATCTGAAGAAAATTGTTTCATTACTTAACAAACAATTTAATTTCAAAATACCACAACCACTTTCACGTCGTGCTATGTACTCCTTTCCTTACTTTCTTTAATGAGGATGAACTTTAAAATGATCTGTTATACAACACTTAAACGATTAAATGAAAATGAAGTAGGTACCTTTAACATACAGATTATCATTTTCCAATCATTATTCTGATACATCTATAATCTATCAATGGTTCAGTTGCATTTGACAAAAAATATTTGTTTTCAGATTACTTCTCTATTTTTTTATGTAAAATTAACATCTCTAATAACTAATTTTTAATTTTCCTAACATTATAATTTAATGTTAATTTATTCGTTTAGGTTTATAAATGATGCATTTAAAACTACAAAAAACACATAGACATCTAACAAAGATGGACTAGATGAATATGTTGTGTTGTACACACCATACACGGTTTACTAAACGAAGAAAGCGGAGATTATCCGTTTTCAAACGTAAATTCCCTATAATTTTATAGTGTTCTGACAATTTTTTGTTGAAGTGGAAGACCTCAAATCATTTGAAACGCTTTGTTCTCGTTTCGTACCTTATATTTTTATTACCTAAACATAGCATAGAGTTATGGTAGTTTCGTACCCTGATGAAGACAGCTGTAGTTAATTATACAAACATCCTAATTATTAACTTTCTTCGCACATATAAACGACTAGAATCACACACGTTGCTTCTTGCTAAACACTACGATTCTGCCTACGACCACAGTGTCATAAAAAAAGATTTCTTTGTATTTTTATGGAATAACAATTTCCTTTCTATGCTTCGGCAAATTTTGAATCCCTAAAGGCCTAAAGAATTATGTCAAGTGGAATTTAATTGTTTTTTAACAGAAAAGAACCTTCGAATTGCGACAACAAAACCCAGACGTTTGGTTTTCGGAACCAATCTCTATTTGAAATTACCAAAAATCGAAATGTTTTGAATATTATCTGTATAATAACCCCCATTAACACTATACATATGTAATATGCACTGTATAGAGTACGGTAAATGTCTATTGTTTTTCCTCAGTAGGTAATCTACAAACTACTTTTCAAAAATATGCGCTTTTTTGATTTGTTAATTATACGTGGTTTAAAGTAATTAGATAAGCCGTCATTACAGGTTAAATTAACCGAAAAAGGTAATTTATCTTGCAAACAAAAAACCTGGTTTAGTTATCAAATGTAAAGTGATATAGGTATTTAATTTGTACGTACTACATGATACAAATTTAATCTTCTTCTACGTTATTACGTATGTGTAACAAACGATATGCATATTTGCCTATACGATATAATAGTTCAAGTTAAAAATTGTATTGTTGTGTAAACTGAATGCTTTCATGTTACAATAAGTAGGTACACACAGAGGTCTTTACCACAGGAAATCTTTATCTCTGATACGTGATACAAACAGAGTAAAGAAAATGAATGGAATCACAATATGCATGTCTGCTATCACTCGAGAAAAAGCCTTTTAATTCCCTTACAATAATAAGAACTGTTTATATTCACTTTTAATAACGTAGTTAGCAGTTATCAATAAACAAATAGAAAAAAGCACCACTTATTTAAGAAATACGTAGGTGTTTTTAAATTATTTACATTACTTTTTTGATAGTGAGTATTTGAAAAATCATTCGAGGTCTATTGGGATCCGTCAAATGGGCATACACCATCTGGTGGCAAAATTTATAACTCGAATGAGGGAAAAGTTTACATAGGAACTGTGCACGCAAATTGTAAAATTGTTTATTAAAATAATAAAACACGTTAAAAAAGTAAAAAATTTTTTGATGATGGAGTCGACGAAGTTTTCTTCTAAAGTTAAATCAAATAAAAAGTTAATATGTTCAGTGAAAAGCTGCAATAGCACTTCAGACATAGATCTTCACTCTTCACCTACATTAACTACTTTCCAATAAAAACTAACCGTTTTATATATGTAAAAAATATATTCGGAAAATTAGAGAAAAAAGTAAACTAATAGAAGCTTGGATGAAAGCAGTAGGTATCAAAGAAGTGAATTCCGGAATAAAAATTTGTTCACGTCATTTTAATGCACATGATTATATTTCAGCAAGTATTTACCATCAGCCATAACCTTAATATTTAAAACTAGAATCATACTAAAATTATAAAGTGAGAAATTATTTATTCCTGTGTAATTGATTTAACACAATTCTAATGATACGATATAAGTATTTTGAGGTTAAGAACCTACCTGCTGCAATACAACAAAGTTGCAATAATGTGTTTGCAACGTTCTCTTAAATCGGCTTTGCACGTGCAAGTCATTGATATGATATTGCTTAAATCACCCAGAATCACCTCACCAATTATATAACGTGAATCACTTTTTAAATCCGAAGTTTGTAAAAAGTAGGCAGTAAACTTGACGGAATTTGAAGGCTAGCTTCCGGATTTGTTATTTCCGAATTTTATAATGTGATTGGCATTAAAAACACGCTCACCTTCAACGAAATTTCCTTTCCGAGGCTTTGTGTCAGCCCAATCACATATTGTGTCAATACTTATCATTTTATCGTAATTTAAAAACTTGGAAATTGCACGGTACACTATAGGAACTACGATAAATTTTCCCTAATCGGCGCCATACTTTTAGGCTCTTCCCATTTGACGGATCCCAATACTGTTCCTTGTCCAGTAAACACACAAAGCAATAATTGAAAAATATATTTGGTAAACTCCAGGGACAGTTGCTAAGACCTGATCTTTCTCAACTTAAAGAACATATATAAGTGAAAAATATACTGTACCTACAACCTACATGAATACATAT